AACCCGCTGCAAACGTCTCTTCCCTTGGCCTTCGGGTTGGCGGCCTCCTTGAGAGGTAGACACGGGCGCAGTGTTGCTGCCTGCTCGGTCAGCATGGGGCCAGGCGATGACGATGTACTGATTCTCGGAGGCCGTTCCCGATCCTTCCTCAGTCATCGTTGGCTCGAGGCCTTGCATAGAAGTATCTCGTAAGGGTACGCTTATCTGTCCGCCGAAAAAGAGCAGCACAGTTTTGCGCCGCTCGTCGAGGCTCCTGTCCAACTTCAGGTTGGTGGCACACACAACGGCGTGTCATGGAACAGGATGCCCTCCCTCCTTGTTCTCGCCCTGGCCTACAGGCCCTCGCCAGGTGGCCGAGGTCCCGCACAGCTCCCCTGGCATTAGCCTGGCCAGGTCGACGATGTAGTGGAAGTCTCTGCAGCCCACGGATGGTCCTCGTCGGGTTCATCATTGATGCCCGGAACTGTCACCTCCTTCAATCGCTCATCTATGGCTTGCATCGTGTCCAGGCCGTCACCAAAATTGGTCGACTGGTGTGGCTGTCCACCCTCGAAAAGGGTGCCTGATACAGGGGCTCATTGGTTCCTGTAGCTCCAGTGCCTTGTCGCGGCGTCGGTGTCAGGGTCAAAGACCGATCCGGCTCTTCCTTCACGAAGTCTATTGAGCCCAGATCTCGATCTCACCGGCGTCGAGGAACGGGAGATGTAGCCAACGTCCCGTCGATCTCCAGATCTTGACTCTACGGTTAGATCCTGCCATGGAGGATTCTCGAAAATGGTGGTATTCTCCGAGATTTCCAACCTCCTGCCATTCCTCCCATTACTCTGCAATGCAGGCCTGGCCGTAGAGGATTGATGCAGGGCCGCTCCGGTCGAGGATCCCTGCCCTGCCTCTGGCGATCCTTCTCAGCCGATTGGCTTGAGAGACGAATGACCCGAGGGTCAAGCTGTGCCAAGATGCGGTTGCCGAGCTCCGTCGAGTTGTTGTGATCGAACCTCGCTCGGCACCATTGGCAGGCGCCGCCACATGCCATTTCGCTCCAGCTCGCATTTGTATGGATGTGGCCAAAGAAGTGGTCCGCACCCATCACGTAGAGTCCAGCAGAAAGCAGCGTGCCTACGGCCACGCTGCGGTGTCTGTTCGAAGTAGAGTACACCAAGATGACAAGCTTGTCGCCAGAATACTTCTCGATATCTCTGAAAATGGCACTCAGTAGATATCTGCCGGGCCCAGAACCTGATCAATGGTTTCTGGGCGCCTGCCGAGACATGCGGCGTGCTCACCTCTGTCAGAGTTTGTCAAACTCCTGACATCGTGCAGGACAACCGGGTATTCCTGCCTCAGCGCCTGAGGCAGTTCCTATTCTGTATAAGGCCTAACGTGCTTTGTGCAAACAGGCTAAGGGGAAGGGGGTTCCGAGCTTGGGTGTCTATCTCATGGCTCTCTAACTCTCCACCCATGGTAGTGTCTCCCTTCTCTATGCTAAAACGCAGCCTACGCTTGCCCAGGGTGCTTGAGGTTGTGCCTAAACGACTTGGTTTTGCTATCAACCCAAGGAAAACTCAGGCCTAACGCCTTGAGTCGGGCAGCAGCTAACCTTCCCCAGGCTGCGCTATGGCACGTAGAATTACACCCCTCATCTAGCGCGCCCCATACATGAGCCTCCTCTGGGTCCCACATATCCATGGGTACCACATCTGAAGGCATGGTCCCTGCGCCTGCAATGTTCCTGGTCGATGCCTTTGGACCTGCTTTCGGCTTTCACTCGGCTTCTGGACTACAGGGGGTCCTACACCCTTCCCTCTATCAACCCGCCTAGTACCCAAAATCGGTTGCGTCGGCACCAGAGCTCGACGCCATGGATGGAATGTCCTGGCGACGTGGGGCCTACGCACTGTTGATGGGTCTAGCGGGTCTATCCGGCTGGTATGGGTCCAAAGGCGCATCGTGTGCCCGTAGGTATGCAACACACGCATCTACAACTCCAAAGCTAGATACACCTACTCCAGGGTTGGAACCTGAGCTGGAGCTAGGGTTAGGGGTTGTATTTTGGCTCGCTGCAAACGACCCTGAAGGTTCGTCCTCTCGGCTTCGGGCTCGCTAGGCGAGGCCAGACCGGCCTTCCATGCGTCCTGGACCCGTTGGAGTTCCAGCTGTTGCTTCTGAAGCGCCTCCTTGAAGGTCGCTTGCCTCCATTGCCACCATTGGTCAATGTGTCGCCGGTTGTCCTCGTCACGGTCTTGCTGCGACGTGCGTGGTCGTGGGGTGCTGCTGGCTCACTGACGAGGAAGCGGCTCCTGTAGTCGATGCCGGCCGCCTGAGGCTTGAATTGCGAGCTTGTTTGCCGGAGCTGACCCAGACTCATGCCGAGTGACTGAGTCTGTCTGCTCATCTTTGCGCACCTGCTCCACGCTGCGTTAGTAGGCTTCTTTAGTGCTGCGCGCAGAGAGGATGATTCCCGCTCAGGTACATCCTCACCGGGTACGGGCGCGGTGGCTGCAGTTCGGGTTGGACTGGCAGCCTCGGAGTGTGTCCTCACTCTCGGACTCGTTCAGGTCGACACTCTTGTCGCTTTTCTTTGCCGATGTCGATCGCGTCTTGGCGCGGATCGCATCCATCGAGGTCCGACATTCCCAGTCTTGGAATGTATTAGGATTGCCGTCGTATATGTACGAACCACTACGCGTCTCCAAGGGAGTACCCGAACCAGCACCACGGGAGTAGCGTAGGCCAGCTACGCTCATTGTCAAGGCTGATCAATGAAATGCAAGAACACAAGCAGGAATGCAATGGGTCGGTATCGGGCTCGCCCAGGCCGTACGATCCTATCGTGCTAAGACCCGCTCAGCTGGTCCCACCGAGGGGTACCAGCTCCACTACCAATTTGAAATTGGCGGGCTTTCCCAAGCACTACGTAACTACCGGTATAGTATAGCTCCAAGGGCCCTAAATGGCAGCAGAATGTACAAGACATGTTCAAGACCAAGACGTCAAGCTCAGATAAGCAGACAGTGATTCACGCCCTCAAACTGCATGTTGGTGACCGAAAACCCAGGATCGAAGAAGACCGTGAATGGCAAACGGCGAACCTTAAGGGATGTTTGTTGGCAAATCCCAAACACAAAAGAAATCGTGGTTGGCAGCACCTCAAACCCCCCACAAAGATGGCGAGTGGCAAAGCCCAAACCACAAAACAAGCTTTTGTTGGCAAACCCTTAACCGAAGCTTTACATTAAAGCACACTCGGAGATGTTGGTTGGCCAAGTCCAGACCCCAAAAATTTTTTAAAAAATACCTTAAGGAGGTTTGGCTAAGAGGCTAGTTGGCAAACTCCAAAACCCTGAAAGAGGATCGCGGGTGGCAAACCCCAAACCCTAAAAGACTCTCATGGGTGGCAAACTCCAAACCCTAAACAACGAAAACATTGGTTGGTATACAGTCCACCCTACATTCGTTTTACTCGGAGATGTTGGTACAAAAAACCTCCAGGAATGCAGTGTTGTCAAGGTCCAAACCCTAAAAAGAGATGCTGGTTGGCAAACTCCAAGCCTTGAAAGGAAATGTTGGTGGGCAAACCGCAAACCCCAAGAAGAGGATCGTTTTATTTTTGTCGGAGATGCTGGTTGGCAAAATCAAAAACCCTAGACGTTGGCCGGAAAGGCTTAAAACGGCGTTGGTGTTGGCAAACCTCACCCCAAAAAGGGGGTCAACGGACAAATCTGTAATCAGAACGGCTGCACCGGAATTCAAAACGGCTGAGTCGGAAACCACGGATGATTCCGAAACCAGAACGGCTGGTTCGGAAACCAGCACAGCACAGTTGCTACTGTGACAAGCAGGGTGATTCGGAAAGCAGAACGATTGCTTTGTTTCGGATGAACTGGTAGCATGGACGTTATCATCTTTTTGCGTTGGATGCTCTTGGGAGTGGATGCGCCACGCCCAGGCGGGGCTCTGCGCAGGCGGCAGGAGGAGCGGCAGCAGCAGAAGCATCAGCAGCCTCAGCAGCAGTAGAACCGGCCCTCGGCGGTTTCCGAAGCAGTGTTCTAGATCGGCGGGCGGTGCTGGTTTTCCGCAGTTCTTTTCCTGAAGCCTGCACGTTTTGCAATTTCTCACTCTCATTTGACATGTGGCACAGGGCATCGTACTGTACTTAACTGTAAAGACGATTCTGCTGCTGCGAAATTTGGAGACAGATCCTCAAAAAAGGGTTATCGATTGTGAGAGTGGGAAAGTGAATGCACTAAGGGCGTCTCGCCCTACGGCTGTGAAGCCAAAAATCCTTCATACTTGGAGGTTAAGAACGATCAGAAATCCCAACACCTTATCTGCCTGATTGCCGGGCCCTATTGGGTTCGCTTCTTGGCGAACATGAAGACAACACACATGCAACAACAAAAACTAGAACACGATCCGGAGTCAAGCCAAACCATCCAAACCCACCAACCCACCCAACCACCGACCGACCGACATCGACCGACCATCATGTTGAGAGCTGGTGGCTATTATGGTTGTCTTCGCCCGATCAGCCCGGTGAACCACTGCCTGGTCGTGCAGCGCGGAGGATGGCGACGGATTGCCTTGCGGCTGACGGGGCTTTGGAAGCAATCGCTGCATTGTGCGTGCCATGCTGGCACGTGCCGAAAAGCCTGCTTCCGTGCCCTTCGCGAAGCGCACGTGCGCTGTCGATGCCTTTGTCGGAGAGATATGCCACATTGATTAATCGGACTCGAGGAGCCTGAAAATTCGCCTCAACATGCCCCGACCAAAGCTTCAGCGGTCCGAGATAAAAACAGACACTAGCAGAAATCATACTTTAAGCTCTGATGCAAATCATCTCGTAAAATAACTTCGACACATGAACCATTGCTGATGCGAGTACTCCTCAGGCACTCGCATTCCCGCTTTCCTTGTCCGCCGAAAACCGCCGATCTCAGTGTCGAAGCCCGGTGAGAGCGCAAATTGCTCAGGCGGCTCATGGCTGAGACAAGCTGAGTGGCTGTGGTCGACCTCCACGGCGTCCACCGGGGGCATGACGGGGTGTGTGAGGGCCTGCCAAGAAGCAGCAAATGCCGACACTGGGACGTCACCCATCGGCTTCAAGCTGCATCTCTCGCATGACTTCTGCAAAGTTGGCAGCTAGCTGCTATCCCACAACTTGCCTTGTGCCTGAAGCTATTCTCAAAATCTCAGACAAGAATTGTGAGCACCTCAGCAGGGTGTTCGGCACACCTGCACAGGAATTCATATGCAAAGCTCTACCTTCGTAGCCATGTCAGTGCAGTCTTCACCTCCTGTTGTTTTGGCAGTTCTGCTGGGCAAGCCAGTCTCATGTCCAACATCCTCCAGGCCTATGCAGCGTCCGAATTGCATCGATGAGCTGCTCATGACCTTCGCATGCGGACTCGAACCCAAAGGCCGAAGTTGCAATCCAAACGCCAATAATTTGTTCGCGGACTGCAGGCACATGCTGCACCTACTCACAGCCAAAGCTTAGTTCCAAACGAATCCGCCATTCCTGTGCACATTCTCGGCATGCAGGAGATCTAACAAATCACGCGCTCATCTTGACCAGAGCTCTGCAATCATGCGCACAAACAGCGGCTATCCCACCATGCCTGGCCTCAGTGAAACTTGTCCTGTGTTTTTGCGCATCCTGGCAGCAGACTTGCACAGCAAGCCTGCAAACTGAAGGCATAACCAGTGCGAAAGCTGTGCAGACAGTGGAGACGCTCGGAGGTCTAGACTCCGGTCTCTAGACCCAACCTTCAAGATGCTGTCTACGGAAGCTGCGACATCGCATTCGGTTGCAACCTGCGGACACCATGTCGCTGTGCTCGTGAGAACTATAGAGATCAACAAATGTAGAAGCGACGACCAGAAGCTGTCAGAATAGACGGTTAGACAAGGCGTCTTTCTTCAATAAAATTGACCGGGGTCCCTGCACAAGCCATGCAGAGCGTCAGCAGCCTCACCTGCACGAGCTTAAACTAATCCTCCAGCAGGCTTTGGTGACCTCTGACGCACTTGACTGGTTTGAGCCCGTCCCTTCACACCTTCCCAGGAACATACAAGCCATTTGACCGATGCGTTTCCTAGTTCTTCGTGTCTGCTTCGTGGTCTCATTGTTCAGCTGCGGCGGGTTGGCTAGACTCGGCTATCACGCGTGCAGATGATGTGTTGCTGAAATGCTATGTCGTTCTGCTTTCTGCAAGCGGTCTGTGCAGCACACCTGCAAGAACTTCATTTGCCTTTCAATCGAGGCCCATGCCACTTAAAGCATAACGCTTTCGGTAGCAGAAACTTGACAAGCAGCGACTGTCCGAAAGCGAGAAAGCCTGCCCATGAGCGCTTTCAGCTACATTCAGACTCCTGTGATGAATTTGACAACATAGACCAGAAACCGGTGCACACGACAGAGAACAGAATAGTCATGCCTGCGGGAATGCACAGTCGCCCTGGCTTGGGTAGGTCTAATTCTCGAGAGTCTACTTGTATCACCTTGTATCATCTGTCGCCCACCTCCACGCCGGTCGTGTCTTTGCTCCACGCAAGTCAGCATCTCACCGGTGCGACATAGTCGGAGCCAAGCTGCTGTCTCTTTCCGTTTCGTGAATTCAATTCACGTAGTGGTGCTGAGAATGACAGCCTGGTCCCTAGCAATGGATAGCCGCTACTGCCAGCGTCTACCACAAAGGTTACAGCATGGTTACAGCGGCAGCAGAAATTGCCTTACAAACAGATTTGCTTCAGCTGTGGGGGGCACACGCTGGCATCATAGAAAACGTGCGCAGCCTTTTGCGCATGTTTTACAGGACACAGGGTCGCTTTCCTCAAGGCGCTTATGACGTGTCTCTGCAGCTGTGCTTTGCCACGGGTAGCAACCCATGTCCTGGCACGATGTTCCACTTTTGCCGTCTTGTTTGTGCTTTGCAGCATTTCAAGTGGGTTACTTTTGCAAGTTGTAACCGTGGTTTTCGCTCGGGAAGTACACGAGCATCACCAGCTTACCCATCATACATTTAAGTCGGTGCTGTATCTATGCAAGCCTTGCAAAACTGAAGCGTCAGCTGGGCTGTGTGGAACTTAGACAGACAGCGACTCTACATCGTGATACCTTGGATGGGGATGGATCTCAACTCGGGTTCATCATGTCCCTGTCTAAGTACGCCCGCGATGTGAGACGACCGATCGCGCCGAAATCACAGCATTGACCAGGCCTGCACGAGGCGGATGCTTAGTGCACCAATATGTATGTCAATGCAGTTCTGTTCCTTTCAGACAAGACAAGCCCACAGTCAAACAGCCAGCTTGACAGCATCATGATAGCTCTTTCTGCAGTTATGCCGAGAATACGGAACAGTTTGCATCCAAGTCGCGCCAGCTTGACTTGCCTAGTCTATCTTCGCCTGCAGTCACCCAGGAACTCTTGCAGCAAAATCCTGCGGAAAGATGCTGCACATTCTGGTAGGAGTACTTGCCTGTCGCGGTCGCGATCTCGGTCGCGGTCGCGGTCACGATCACGGTCTCGGTCCCCTCGCTCGCCACGATCTCGATCAGTCCTGAGAGCAAGCACCAAGCCTGGACAAAGATAAGACTGGCTGCTGCACAGCACCTGAACGCGAAGCCTCTTGTTTCTGGGGTACTGACGCTGCCTTGCCAGCACCACCGCCTGCACCAAGGAATCATAATCCACCCACCACATATCTGCGCATCAAAGGGAATGGCATAAAGCCAGTTGCTGCTTGCCACACTACCCTGTGCTGGCACCTTTCTTCTTGGTGCCTGCAGGATACCTGCCCGGAAGATCCCGGAAGTATATCAACCCAACATTGGAATTTCAGCAAATCAGATACTCGCACCAGGCATGCATGTTCATGCTGGCGACTGATATATGAGCTCCATTGACTCAGTACGGTAACATCAGTCTTTGCGGCACTTGGGCGGGTTCTGCTTCGGAGCATCATCAATAAGCAGAAAGTTCAAGTCCTGAGAATGGCTTACAGCTTCGCGCGTAGTTTGGGCATGTGTTCATCCATCTATGCACCCGAAGCTGAGCTGGCAACGGCATGATCTGGCAGGATCACGTACCGGATGTTGGCCCCGCCTTACTTATGCTTTTGCCAAAAGACCAAGCAAAGGCAAGAAGCGCTTGGCAAAGGTGCTCTTTCAAGAGTGACGTTCAGCTTTATCGGCTGGGTGTTTACTGGGCTTGCAGCATTTCGCCGGCCACCCGGTGCCCCTGCTGCTAATCTGGGAAGCTTGCGGATTGACAGGAAAGCCATGTTCACCGGATTCTTGTGCCGAACCTTAACGATGCATGCCACTCGTTCATAAAGCATTTGCTCAATTCCAGACAAAGCTCTCTTGATTGCAGCCGGGCAACCGTCACTTTAACCTGCTTGAGGTGTGTGTTCATAGAAGTGTCCACTGCCGTGATGGTGCCCTGCAGATTTGAACGATGCCACGAACAAGTTCACTGCAGCGACTCCCAATTTCGGTACAACTGCAGCTGAAGCATAGTTCTGGTCAAGTTGGACCTTCAAGCTTCATCAGGTCAGGCCTTGCCTGCACTTGGGTGCCGTTCTTCAGCTCCATGGTTACGGTCTCATTGACCATCTTCCCCAAAAACCTGCAGACCAGATACCAAGACCTTCTGCGAATCTACAACTGAAGAGACAGCTGTCGTTTCATCATTGAAAAAGCTTTTCCAATCGGTCTTTTGGGGAGACCAGTTGGCCAGTTCCATGCAACATCTACAAGTGCTTCCGATTACCCCCGAGACCCTGCCTATTGAGCTTCATGGCTGCTGGCAGCCCGTCGGTGGGTTCACCTGCAAAGTTAAGCTGGTGTCCGTCTTAGCTGTCCTGTTCTCTCACGCAAAATTCTGTGGGATTTTGAACTATGAAGCAAATCGCCGAGAGTTCCAGCAAAAGCGAAAGGACAATTCACCCCCTGCCTCTCCAAGCAGTGCTCGGAGAACCCGCCCCCTCATGTGCCCGGAGCCAGGGCTGCATCAGATATGTTGCGGTGACAGTCCGCATTGGCAGTTGGCCCTTGATTCTCTGACACTATAAGGTTTGCTTTTTGCCTTTTCATGCCCCTACTATAGTAATTCCTAGTCCCAGTACAAATGCTGGAGCAAACCCCAACACTGCGAATACTCGTACCAGAGCAGAAACGAAGAGTTACTCGCATTCCGTCCAGCGAAATGTGTCTTTACCTGTCCGTTGTTAGAAGGTGCTTGCGCCATTTACATTTATGCCAATTGGTTTTCTGAGGTGACATTGCCTCCTTGGACTTCGCACTTCACAGGACCAAGGGCAGGGAGCAGAAGCAGGCGGGGCGGAACTAGCAAAGTCTAAAGGCAGAAGCGCGCCCTTTTCCCAGGAGCTTCCTCCAAGCAGAGAGAGAGCGGGAAGGGCGAGACAGGGGGAGAGGCAAGTCCGCGCGAGAAGCGCGTGAGACGCGGTGCTCTTTGGCGGGCCGCAGGCCGGAGCGTGAGAGCAACAGAGCTCCCTATTTTTCTGGTGCTCCTTGCAGATAGGGACCATTCCGCACCTCCATGCTGCTGTCCTCATGGGTCGTATTAACATGGCCGGGGCATCACTGGCACGCTACATGACTGCAACGCTATGATGAAGAAAGTCACTGCATGCGACGTGTGCTGTATCTTTGCAGAATCCATTGTCTCCTTTTGCGGCAGCATGCTTTGCAGCAGTTCTTCATCTCGTGACCTGAATGCACTGGAACAGTGAGTGTCGATCCGGCTGTGTTCTTGATGCTTGCGCTCTGACATGATACAGCCGTGACGCATCTCTGCAAGCAGACCCTGAGACGCCCGCACCAAAGAGCTCAGTGGAGCCCCTGGCCTCAGACACGCCACTACATAGTACAATACAACGAGCAAGTCCTGCAGTTCCTGTAGAGGGATGGCTGCGATGTGCTTCCAAATTACTGACAGCTCTGTGGCTTCCGATTTGTGCTCCCGGCTCGATCGTAGTGTCCGATTCAGCCAGTCGGGCAATCCTTACGTCGATACAGTGACACATCTGCAAGTTCGTCATGGACACACTCAATTGCTTTAACAAACGCCACCATGCATGAGGTTGACCCTTGGACCTGCAGATTGCTGACACGAGGCTGCACCATTTCGCAGACATGTTCAGCAGTTCGTCGCATGTCCTCGTTGCTGTCTTCCGACTGGCTGGCAAAACAGGGCAGAACACGTTGCCTCTTCCAATTCCCGTGCGACCTGCAGACGCTGGGCGAGTCCGCAGGGTGTCCAACCCGAGGCTGCAAGCGCCTGCACTGGCGCCCTTCGCCCTTCTGGTCCAGGCACCGGAGGCGGAGGCGGAGGAGCTGAGAGGACACTTGGCACCTGCGACTCTTGGAACACACTTTGCAAAAGAAAGGAACAATGTGAAGCGGGGAGCTCTGGCGAGTGACAATGACAGCTCTGGCTTACGTCGCCTCGATATGTGCAAGGTCATGGCTGAAGGGTTCAGGACTTCAGGAGTTTCCTTTGTGAGTTGCTGCTGGCAGGGCGTCGACTAAGTCGTGCCATTGCAAGGCCTCGTCTGACAACGCAAAACACGAACCGTACACCGGGCAATAACATTCGCCGACGCAGTGTGGCAGAGCGGCTTTTCAGGAGTATTCAGGATTATCCTGGACTGGTGAACCAACGTGCAATCGACAGAACCCCAGCAACCGAGTTGACAACCCCAAACCAAAGGACAGTGCTTATGTAGAGTTGCATCAAGTCTGTTGGAACATTCATCCAAGCCGCCGGGCTTCTGGTGCACATGAAACATATGTATGAAACGCAGGGTCCACTGCAACAGGGTCTGTATGGGAACGGTATGTTTGACCTGAAATCCTGGGTCTAATATTGTTGGCCGGTGTAGCCAACATAGAGTAAGGCACTGGTATATTAGACCCTGCGTGTAGTGGTCCGGTATGTGTGTGCCACGAAACCGCAGTGGATCACTGTATGTGCATGAGTTTGCGTGCATGGTGGCGCGGATAGCCCCCATCCCGAAACCATAAATCCAAACTCCAAAGCCGAAGCCGTAACACAAAGCCGTAAACACACCTTTAAACCCAGACCCCCCGATGATGCCCGAACAAACCTAACACGTAAACCCCAAACCCCTCTGCCCCCCAAGCCCGAAACGATAAAAAGACCGCACCCAAACCCAACCTCAAACACAAACTCAACCCTTAAAGCGTACTCACCACACCGAAATCTTCAGACCTCAAACCCCAAGCCCTAAGCCCGAAACTCTGAGCCGCAAAACCTAGACCCAGGCCGTAAACCTCGAAAGCACAAACCCAAAACCTCCAAACTTCAAGCCCCAACCTTAAACCCTAGCCCGAAGACCTAGACCTACACCTCGAACCGCAAACTTTGAACCCTCAACCCAAACGCGAAACCCCATATCCCAAACCCAGCCCTAAACCACGGTGGAGAGGTTTTTGGGATTCCTAACGCTGGCGGTCCCCCGTCTCCCTTGCTAACGTTGGCTCTCTATTTGGTTACAAATACTGTAAATTGCAGCATTTGCTATTGTTTTGGATTAAGCTATTGGGGAATTGTAATTAGCAGGGTCCCCGTTTTCCGCCAAGCTATTGGGGGTATGCACTTTCATTTCATTTACAGGGTTTCGTTCTGCCCCAAGCAATTGGGGGAATGCAATTTCGAGGCTCCTGTCTTGTGTCAAGCTATTGTCGAATTGCAACTTGCAGGGTCTTGCTTTGCATCAAGCTACGGTTTTGCGTTGTGTCAAGTTATTGGGGAGTTCCAACTTGATGGGCATTGCTTTACCCCAGGCTATTGGGAGAATACAAGTTGCAGGGCCTTGTTTCTGTTTTGCTCCAAGCTATTGGGAGATTGGAAAGTACAGTTTGGACTTAAGGTTGTGGGCTTGGAGTTGGTTTGGGCTTTCGGTCTGGGGTCGAAGGTTTTATAGCTTCATGCAAAACAAGAGCAAACGCTGTGATATAGCATTTGCAACTTGGTAAGGTTGGCCGGGGCTCCTTGCTCCCCTTGGTCCTCTGCTCCTCTGGTCCTGGTCCCCTGGTCCTTTGGTCCCTCGTCCTCTGGTCCTGGTCCCCAATCAAACCACGTGCCTTCCGTCCTCGGAGTTCAGCTCAGATCTTCCCATCCCCACACACACTTCGCAGCCACGGACCAAGACGGATTTGCTTCCACGACCATGACGACCACTATCTCCACATCTTCCCCGACATCTACCAGTTCGCTGCCACTCGCGGATGCACTCATGGCCAATTGGATGATCTACTTGCTGGAAGGCCGACTTTGGTCTGTCCCACAAGTTCCTCCTTATCCACATGGAACATCAACACGGAGGTACGACAACGACTACTACGTCAACACCTTGAACCGCTTGGCACCCGAGAACCCCCCAAACATTTCGTGTGGACTGTTTGGACCCACTGGATAACCACAAACACTATGGGTTGCTGGACATCGCTCCGCCACCTTCAACGCCAGGATACTATTTTGCATGGAGTACACCGAGCTGTCAGAACCGTGCTACGATTATGCGACTGGCATCGTCTAGTACGTGTGCTACCGAACCCTAGGACACTACGACTCTACGAAAAAGCACAGTGAGAATCGCGCCATCCTCTGATATCTGATCATGTCCAACCAGAACTTCGACGACGTCAACTTCAACAGTGCCAATGTCGACGACGTCATCGCGTGGCGCTGCTGGTCCTACACAGTAGCAGCTTCCTGTCTGATGTATAGAGCAACCCCCTCCCGCTACGGCGGTGTGTGTGTGTGTGTGTGTGTGGGTGGGTGTGTGGGTGTGTGGGTGTGTGGGCGCGTGGGCGCGTGGGCGC